TTGAAATAAATGTTCCAAAGCTCAAGGGTTTGCAGACATACAAAAACAAATTACAATGTTTCTAAATACTCGAATCTGAGTTGTATTTTTAAGTTTTCTTCTCGATGGTAATTTCTAGTAGAATTCTAAAACAATACATTTGCGTAGCTGAAAGGATTCTCTATCAGGATTGAGTACGCCCGAATATGTTATCAAAACTAAGAAACTTAAAACCAGTTTTCTGCCATCTATTTAAAGCTTTTCGGAAAATATTTTATTCTCAAGGTCAGATAATTCTGAGAAAAACTATACGTATCCGATTTCTTCATGACCTTCCTTCGTCGAGCTGCATTCAATTTACAAAAGGCCCCAAAGCGCTAAATATAGAAAAAAAAAAAAACATTCAAATTTTCAATAAGTGAATGTAGTTCGATGAAGGAAGATCATCAAGAGATCGAAGACATCTCATCTCACACAGAATTATTCGCTCTATCTATCAAATAAAGTCGTTTTTTAACAGCTTCGAATGGGAATCAGAAAGTTAGTTTTGAGAGTCTTAATTTACCACAGACTCCAACCCATGTGATTTTGCTAAAACCTTCGATGCTATCAATCGTACTAGAGAATTTTTTTGGTTCTGCAAATGCTTTTTCAGTTCTTTGCTAGCTATAATAATCGAGAAGAAAACGTAAAAATACAGCTGCTTTTAACTTTTGTCCGTCACTATATACCTCAAGAAAACCTTGAGTAAATACCCGACACTGCCTGAACTGGTTAGATAGTTTTCAAACATTGAGATAGAGTTTGGATTTGGTACATATCTAATTCTCCCTCTTGTTCGATCGAGGTCATTGGCAATAAATTAAACATAACACATATTTTTTTTTGAATGTTGTTTATTGAAAATTAAAAGAAAAAAAAATAAGATGATAACAAACAGATTCTAATTTGTTTTAGAAAAAAAAATATATATATATATATGAATTATACATGTCTAGAGAATGCCTATGATTCTTTGAGATTTTGTTTTTTTACAATGACAATGTGAACAAGGTTTTTTTTGTTGTTGAATTAAAACAATATGATCAATATGAATTTGATATTGATGATTCGAACGATGTTGCCGGCGTTTTTTATGAATTTTATGGTTAACAGTCATTTTTGATCGTGGGGAAGATACAACAGGAATTGTTTGTTGTTCAATTGGATTTATCGAACGAGGATTTGGAGTTGAAGCACGAGGAAATATTTTATTGTTTGATGTTTGTGGAGTACTCGTGCCATGATAGACAGTATTAATCGATGAACGAAAACGTTTGTAACCTTGAGATTGTGCCATTAAAATATTATCTGAATAAGAACAAAACAATACTAGTAAAATGAATATATATTCTTTTTTTTTTTGTATTTGTTTGGCTTTGATTTGCTATTCGAGACATTGAACAGAAAAAAGTATATTGTAACCTGATAAATAAAATATATATATTCTCCTTCAATACAATAACTCAATTTGATATTTATAAGTTTAAATTTGAAAACAGTATCAGTTAACATTGTCTAAGATTAACTTTAATCGACTTGAATAAGAATATTTAATGAACTTGATAGAATATTCCAGTTTTATGCAAGTTTTTTCTTGCAATAGAGCGAATTAACACTTCGGAAGGATCAACCTCGTTCTCGAAGAGGCACTGGTTCCTCAGCCCTCACACTTAATAAAACACTGAAATATTCGAACACCAACACATAAAACAGAGCCTATAAAAATACATAAAAGACTTAACTTTTTAAGTCAATAGACTATAACCAAGATATAAAGAGAGGGTACTAATTTATCAAGTAGCGGATGGATCTAGAAAACCAGTGAAAAGATAGCGATCATAGTCAAAAAAAGTTTTCGAAGTCCATTCAAGTTGGTATAATCTCTTTATTTTCATTCTAATGAAAACAAAAAAAAAAAAAACTTCATCGAAAGGCGGCAAGTGTTGATCTGCCACTCCGGCTATGTTCAACATTGTTGTTAAGATAACATGAAACAAAATAATTGTGAAAAAAGATCATTTAAAATACAAACCTTAAACTTACGTTATAATATATATATATAATGTTCTGATGGTTTATCAAAGCATGACATCAGCTTAGATGAAGAATCATCCATAATTCCATCATAGAAAATATATCAAAATAGAAAATCGACTTACTTTTTGTTACTGGTGTACAATGAAGTAGGCGTGTCGATCAAATTGAGCGTATGATGATGTGTCGATATCACTGAATAGTGCGACTCAACTATCTAATTGAGATTGACACTTCTCTCTCTCTGTATAATTTTTTTTCACTCTTTGTCTCTCTCTCTCTCTCTTCCTCTCTATTTTCTCATGTCTATTCTATCTTCTCTTTCTTCCGTAAATTAATTATGCAATCAAATGAGCAATGTCTATAATATGCGAAGTACCACGTGTCCGGGTGTTATTACATACATAAATTTCAAAAAATATATATAGTCGCCGGTGCTAGTCAAGTGTTTCGAACTGTTTGACGGAAGTCCCAGGCGATATAGTGAAATTGAAATGTGTCACTCTTGACCTAGAGAAAGTAGCATGGAAAAAAATTTAAATGAGCAAATATTAAGAATGCAGTTATGTGTATGAAAAGATAACAATTAAAAAAAAACGAGAGAGCAACACTATTTCGTTGTTATGATGATGCAATCAGAAAGAGCAGCTGTAATAATGTCTCAAACTTATCAACAACAGCATTGAACATACACATATACTCAGTATGAATATGTGACAGCTTTTTTTCTTCTTCTTCGTTTTGTTGAATAAACCTGAAAGTGATGAAGCTGAGAGAAGGAATGATGATGAATATCAAATAGAGTTTCAACAAGAAAAAAAAAAGTAATAACTTTGATGTGTTTCATTTTTAAATAGGTGTGAACAACGTGTTCACTATGAGAAACAATATTATCATGATGTAATTAAATTGAAAATCAAATAAGTTTGCGAAAGATCAAACTCAAGTTTATTTAAACATGAGTATATATTCATCTGAAAACTAAATAAAATACATTTTGTTTTTTTGAAAAAAAATTTCTAAAATCGAACCTAAGGAAATATTTTTATACTTGAACACATTTTTGATTTACATATAATGCAACTGAAAAATGTTTACAGATGACTATGAACTTCATTTTCTTAATAACCTTGTCTCAAGGCTTTTGTTTCTGTTTTGATATGGGCAAAAGACTAGAATAGACTGTAATTAAAAGCATTACATATAAAGAGCAACTCGGAGGGACAGTCAATATATGGGAGGGGGATCACGATTTTTTCGGAGGATGTAAAGATTTTTTTGTCACAAACTCCTTAGGGTTCGACTATTAAAACTTTTCTCAATTCATCTGTAAATTATTACTAACAAAGAAGACAAGTTAAAAAATTCATACTTTTATATCATAAAGACTTATTTTGTTTGTAATCAAACTACAGAATCAACGATTACACAGTATTACAATCTACTATTATTCGTTGAATCATAATGTCTTTTCACAGTTCGATCATCTTTCTACGATGGTCTGATCATTATAGGATCAATATAATAATTATGCTCAGTATCATCCGATACACATGAAAGATTATAGAATTTGCACGATCAATGGAAATATGAATAGAAAGATCGTACGACATTTACTAGAGAGTGTCACAAAGAATATATAAGAGAAAACCAAGTACTATCGTAATCAGGAGACCATGAGTAATACAACAGAGTCCTACGATCTTGAGAAAGATCCATATAATATAATGTCAATAATGGTAAGTATTACATTTTTCTTTTTTCTGATGGTAAGACAGCGTGCAGCTTAGATCACCCCTCGTTACGTCACCAAAACAAAGAGAACAATAATAGAATGTTGTGCGATATACGATGGTGTAAGTACTCAACAGCATCATTAATACATGTTGGTTAAAGTTAATCGTTATCGAAACGTTTAAATAAAACATAAACTTGATTGATAATTAGAGACGAATCGAAAAAGAAACGAACCGGATGTTACACCCCTGACACTCCTCCCTCTCACTCAGACTATTCTTTTTCATATGTATACATCAAAGAGATATCATTGTAAAATGAACTTGTCTTCAGATGACTATTTAAGCATATTTCAAAATAACTGTTCACTTGATATAATCATGAGTAGAGAAAATTCATTATTTTCTCGATATGACTAAAAAACATTTTCGAGACATCTTCATAAAACGAATTCTCTAATGTTTTCACTGATTTTGTCATTTATAAGAACGCAAAGTTTCTCTTTTGATTACATCCAATCATCAGCTGATTGTGTTTGCATTCGATGCTATCAAATGCAATCAATGATTAGATTAAAAAAAAATGTCATATTCATGCTAATCAACAAAAGAATAATATTGATTTGATTATAACACTTCAATGAACAATTTAACAAAAAAGAAACATGAGCAATGAACGTTCGAGTCACGATATTCTAAGAGAAAAACAGTGATTTTTTTTTCAATGAAACAAAACTTTTAAAAATGGTCTTGTAAATCAATAGCCGTTGATCATATATGTTACATTATGCATATAATTGTAGAAGTGAAAGAACAACAAAAGAAAGATGTTCATTCTTGCTCTCGGTGAGAATTGTTTCGTTCTCTTCTCATGACTTTCTTCTAGTAGGTTTTTGTGATACATAAAGGTAGACAACATCAACTGATTTTTTTTCTTTCTTTCTTTTTCTATCGGTTATTGTTGCGTCCTTCCTTAGAGTAAACCATGCCGCGTCATTCTTCGTTGTCATGGTAGGTTGTTCTGTTGTGTCAATCTCTTCACTCTTTCTTTCATTCGCTTTCAAATAAAAGTGAAATGAAAACATATAAAACGTTTTTCTTTTTTTTTTTGTAATAGTAACGGATACCCAATTTTTTTCTTGTGCTTTATGTATATATTTTGTTCTAGACACAAGTATCTATCTAAAAACTTTTATAGAAACTCTAATCATGACACGTATGGCTTTTGATACACGCACGCAAAATGCGTGGAAAGAATTAATTGAAAAAGAAGCAATGACTCGTGTCTCTTGGCATCAAACATTCAAACCAAATCCGAATGATGATGAATGGTTTAAGCGTGCATTTTATACACAAGCTACAGCTAAACCAATTGGCCGTTCTTTACCGACAATTGTGTTTCCTCCAAGACCTAAACCACGTTATGATCCAAATGATACGTTAGACGAATTAGCAAAAAAACTTGATGTTGAACATAATCCTAATGCATTAAAAGAAATGTATCCGGTTAAAAAAGAATATAAAGATGTTTTATTTGATGGTTTTTCAAAAGAAGAAAAAGGTCGTTATAAATATTTAAATTTACGTAAACAAATTCAACCTGAACATAAATATCAATATCCTGTATCAAATACAATGGAATATGGATGGAAATTAGGTGAAACTGGTCAACAATTTAAAGCACCAACATATGCCCGAGGAAAAATTGTTGAAGAATCATTTTATCGTCGTAATGGTGTTTTTGAATAAATCTTTTTTTTTTCTTTGTTTGCTTAACTATTTTTTATTTTTTTTCTCTTCTACAAGTGCTGCTCTGTTCATTGTATAGACAACAAATATTCGATCGGTTCATTACAACAAAATTTTGTAAACATATTTTTGTTTATCATATGAAACCAAAACAAAAACTTGATTTTACCTTATTTCTTTAAGCCTTATATCGCAATGTATTGCATGTCAAACCCTATAATAATAAAAAACACTAAAAGAACGATTAAAAACGAAGGATATACTTATTGTTGTTGTATTATATTTTGGCATTTTGTTAACAATGTCACTTGATAACATAAATAACGTTTGATCGTCGTAATATTTTCTTTCATTTCAATTGGTGACAACAAAAATATGATAAAATATCTTCAATCTAAATTGATATCACAACACAATTCAAGTGTACCAAATGTGATATTCGATGCTCATATTCAAGATCTCATTGACTAGAATGAGAAAAATAGTCAGATGAATTAAATTTCTTCGAACAAAAATGTCAAATGTATTCGTCAAAAATTATAAAAAGGTGAAAAACAACAAAGAAGAACATCTAAAGGATTGTGCTATAATAAAAACAATCATTAATAATTTTAATAAAATAATCGATCTAGACAAGTTACTTATGGATTATTTCGGATGATGAACGAAATAATACAACAATAGATGAAACTGTAAATTTAGAAAAGAAAAGTTCATGAAGAATATGTTATTCATTGACAAATGAGTTGTGAATAGAGATATGCGAGACAACAATTTAAAGATTTGCCGGAATTGGGAACAGAACTACAGAAAAACAATTGTTCCAATCGGAATTAAAGATTATAATTAAAAATTGAACGTTGCTGAGCGAATTATATTATAAACCATGTCAATCAGAACATAACTTAAGGAATATAGCCCGGAAAAGTGCTAGTCGTCCACTAAATAAATCAAAAGAACGAATATTGAAGAATGCTTTCCAAAGGAATACAAATAAATTCTCGAATAGTTTTCTTTACACAGAAACTAGATTAGATTTACTAAAGTCATAGCTGGAATCACTAGAAAAGAAGTTACTGAAACCAAAAAAACTTACTCGTTCATATCTCTAGTCTTGAATATTCAATTCGACAACATTGGAGTTATATGAAACAAATCACATATACGTTACTATAACTACTTGAAAGATATTTACATATTATACTTGGTAATGATTTAATTGCATCATTTTTTAATAAATCTGATCAATGATGCTATAAAGAACGTTATGAACAGTTTAAATTACTTGTTACGCTTGTTATCATGATTATTTTATTACTAATTTATCCAAAAACGCTCGTTAATCAAACATTAGACGCTTTCTTTCATTTTCTTGTCGTTTGGTATAATTATACAATAACAATTCATTGTGAATGCGTTAGAGAAATAACTGTGTCAACATTCACATTAATTTCTATCAAGAGCATGAACATGTATTTTGTTCTTTTTTGACTATCAACAAAATCGTATGAACTAATTAGTTCGTCAATCACATAATATCTTTAGTTGATATATTAATTATGTTCAAGGTTTTTTGTATTATCATGAAAGAGACCGTCGATATCGGTTACAAGCTTGAGAGCATTCAGATGAGTTACATAGTAAGAATAGAAGATTTCCAATCATGGACGTTACGTGCTCTTACTTTTTTGTGGAACATGATCTGATAGGAGGGGTGTTAAAGTATATAGGGTAGATATTTGAAACTACTCTACCACCTCTCCCACAGACTGTAACCGGCACTAGTCGAAGGTCATCACAGACCGTATATAAATAACGGCTCGCTACAACATATTAACAATTTCCTTCTTGCATTTCTGGAGTATTAAGTAAGAGAATGACGACAAAATATATTTCAAGATATGTAGAATAAAACACTCTCCTTCTCATTAACAACAGCAATTATATCATGTTTCACATTTGAATTCCACAGGGATTGCGCTAACAGCTTTCTACCACCATTTAATGTTTTGGTTATCTATTCTAAATTTTATAATATTTGCGTCCTCTATAACCTATCGATTACACATCAAGTGCTAAATCAAGATCAGAATGACGTATTTTATTAAAACTTCTTTCTCCGATCTTACCTGATACTTTTTCTTGATAATTCTACAACAAATTTTATAATTATTCTACATAAAACTTGTGAACATCTACTCAATATTTAATGATTACATCATCATTATAAAATTTTCAAAATATTATTTTTTTTTTTTTTAGAAATATTTTTCTTTATTTAATTCTGATTTCAAAACACAAAACGATATCACCGAGTGTATGTAACGTAGTGAAAAAAAAAGACTATGACACCCAAAAAAAAGAAACAAAAGAACAAAACATATTTTACGCATTTAAAAAAAAAGTTATAATCGTTGTATAACTCGATTAGTTGTGGTGGATTGATATTCTCCAGATGTGTCTATATAGAAAGAATTTTCAGAAGGACGTTGCGTTAATGTTGCACTCATGTACTGTTGTACATAATCACGCATTGATACAAATAAATTTTCATATTGATCCTGAATAATAAGTACATAATAAAATTTTTATTTTATGTAATTATTAATAAAAAAAAAAAAACAAAACTTACTTGATCAATAAATTGTGGCCGAGTAGAACGAAGAAGTCGAACAATTTTAAATGGATCAACAATTTGTTCTGTTTGCATTTTATCAATTGAATTACATAGAGCGGCAAAATAGCCTGACCATGTTGCACCATTTCTTAACAAAAAATTTTATTTTATTGTTTTTTTTTTTTTAATTTTGAAAAATTAGTTTAACTTACAAACATTGAAGAATAACATTTTGTCCATTAAATGTACGCATTTCTTTTAGAAAACGTTTTACAACAGGTAATAAATGTAAATTATCTTTTATTTGAAATTGACGTATTGTTCTTGTTCGATCAGTAGCCTAATATTTAAAAATATTAAAACTAATAAAGAAAATAATGTATATGAAAAATACATACGAATACAGTTTTATTTATATATTTTAGTTCAAAAACTCGTTCAATTAATTGTTCATCTTCTTTTTGTGACGTCATAATTATTTCAAATGGTCCATAAGATGTTACTTGTCCGACAGTTGTCGGCCAATAATAAATAGTTTTCTAAATAAACATAGAATAATATTTCAATTAAATATAGAACTGTAAATCGATCAATATGTCTTACTGAATCACGTAATATATATTCAAGTAACATTATTATTGACACATTATGATCATAGACAAGACGCCAGAAATCAATGCATGTATGAGGTAATGGATATTGTGTAACAATATAATTGGGTGTTTGTCGATAGGACTATAAATAGAATAAGAATAAATAGTATAATTAATTTGAAAAGAATCGAATAAATTCATCTCATTATATTCTCCTTTACCAGCTTGATTAATATATAATGAGAATTATTTTTTCTTTCGAATGTAACTATAAATAATCAGTGTACCATTTTCATCATTATCAACACTCTTATCGAACATATATTACGCAAAAAAGAACTTCGATAATAAAATCTTGCATATCAACTGAAATGAATAAAAGCGTTAGTAGAAGCGAATTCTATAAGATTATTTGTATAGCACAATGTATGAACAATAAGGGACTATGAATCCATGTTTTTGAAGATCCGAACCCAAGAAAAACCTATACTTCTTGACCAAGACCTAAACTCGATATATCCAGACCTGGGCTCAATCAGGTCCACACTCGATTTTTTTTCTCAGAAAAGAAAATGAACATACAGTTATTACTTATTATGCATTTTTCCATCTCTCAATACTTAATCGATTAAAAGTTTTCTACTTAGTTGAAAAGAGTATTATGTTAACAAAAATGAAAAATGAATATTTAATTGATAAACAAAATTCGTCAAACTAACAATAACACCGAGATATTTAGCTGCATGGAATAGTTTTAGTTGTAGTTCTGTAAAAGAGATTAAGCAAGTAGGGAATAGTAGGTTCATCTTTTTGTGAACCTGAGCCTAGATCTGAAAGAACATGCAACTCCATAATCAATAAGCCTCGCTCATTGAATAAAAATGATTTCTCATGCAGTGACACGTTCAACCAGTCAACAGTTTGGAGCACATATTTTATTTTAACTCAATCAAAAGACTAAATTTATTCTTCAATTTACATTAAGACAGAAACCTATTGAAAACATCAACTACACAAAATTAAAACTTGTTTCATTTGAAAGTGCTTTCACTGTACAGAAAAAACACATCAAAGATTAAACACAAACTCGACTGTAATTGGTTTGTAAACTATACTATTTGTAAATAAACTCTATATAATGAATAAAAAACTATTTATATGTAAAAAGATGCATGATTGTGTTTCAACAAGTCACAAAAAACCCGCTTGTATTCATGTGGTATAAAGTCTAAACCATAAAAATACGACAAAGAAAAATCATCAACTCAGACAATGTTAGTCTAATAAAAGATATAATAAACGATTGATTGATGAATTCTATCAAATCCTGAAACCCATAAAAATTTTCAATGATTCTTCAGACTGTAAATGCACCACAAATAAAAACTATTCTTATTTGTTTTATGAATAACGAAGAAAATCCTACATGATATTCTTCTTCTTCCAAAGTAAAGAATTAGATTCAAACAAGACGATGTGAGATGTCTAGTTATCAAGTACGCAGTATTTTTTATTTAAATAGTTCAATTATTTTAATAACTTCGGCAAGATAAACAACAGCTTGATTTGATATCAAAGAAGTATTGTTCGTGTTAGTAATACAAAACCTTACATAAAATATAATAATTTTTATTCTAAATTGAAGCCTTTTCAAGTAAATTTGTCTAATATCGGGATTAAACAATCAACAATTATTCAGATGATGTTAAACAGATGAAACAAATAGTAATGGTCTATTAGCATTTCCATTCAACCTAGATTTATCTCATTTAAAGCTCCTTGTTGTTAGT